CCTCACAGAGAAGAGTCTGGTGTCAGGTTTTGTAAAAGCTGTTCATTGCTCTAAACCCTCAAGTGCCTGGGCAGGGTTGTGTTAGATGTGATATTCAGTAGGGCCATTCAAAGTGTTGTTCCAGCATCAATCAGCATCACCTGGAATCTTAGAAAACAAATTCACAGGCCCCACACAGACTTGTACTCAGGCTAAATCAGAATCTCTAGGTGTGGGCATGAAAATCTGTATTTTAACTTTTTAACATGATTCCTAGATAACTATAATTAGTATGCAAATTTTGATAGAACACTGATGCATATGTATATAGGTTCATATATATATTTGGCCCTCTCTGTGTGTGTGTGTATGTATATATCTATGTCTATAGATAGATAGATAGATGATAGATAGATAGATAGATACAGATATAGATATAGATATAGATATATATAGATATAGAAATAGCTGTAGATATATAGATACATATACACATATCCATAGCTATATCTATTTATATACAGCTCAGTGGCTATCAAGGTTAACCTGCATCAGAATCACTTAGGGGGCCCCGAGGGCTGGTTTTATCCTGATTGCTGAGGCCCACCTCCAGTATTTCTAGTTTGGATAGGACTTGAGAATCTGCTTTTTAAACAATAACCTCAGTAAAGCTGATACTACTGGTAAAAGGACCGTATTTTAATAACTGGTTTAGCTTAATCTGTGAATCAGAGAAAGCTCAGTCCAAATTTTGATTGTCATGGGCAAGATGTTAAAGATCCTCATGTATTATTTTATTTGATTATTGTGGGTAAAATTGCAATATTTCCAGAATCTCTCACCTGGCCTTAGTGCATCTCCATATAAATAGGTTTTTCTCAGGGGTGGAGAAAAGTAGCCTCTCCATATCAATAGGTAATTACAAGGGGGAGTGAGGGTATATCTGGACAGAAGGGGTTGGGTGGGGTTGCTTTTTGCAGTTGGGTTGTGAGAGACATGGTTGAGCAGAAGTGGATGACTGACTGTAGCCAATAAATGGGTTTCTCCTATTTTATTTCTCCCTTTGGCTGATTTTGGTTTCAAAGGTAATTTGCCCTGGGCTGGGAAAATATTTTCCCCCAGAATTACAGTTATCAGAATGAGACAATACTTTTCTGTCACAAGTCAGAAATTTTGAGACAAAATAGGATTTCTTTCTGTAAAAATATATCATGATTTTGTTATATGAACTAACAGAAAAGATGATTTATAAAAGTGACTAAAATAGTATATAGTAGTGAGTTTAAAATGATAGTTATGTACAAGGAACTTTCTTTTCTAGTTAGTGAAAAACTGTTTTTAATCTTTCAATAACTAAAGGAAAAGAAAATTTTGATCTTCTTGACAGTTCTTATCAATGATGCATTATTTTATGACATATTTTGTCAAATACATACATGTTTATTACTATATCTTAAGGCATTTTTTTTCATGTTCATAGCACTATAAACTTATACTTGTATAAGATCACCGATACCCCAGTCAGCTTCTACATGAAAACAAATTAAAAGTTGTGTACAGATGTGGCCAATTTTAGACAAAAAACAAACATCAGGATGTTTTCAAAATTCAACTGTCCAGCATTCTATAATCTCAATTAGAATTTTATCTTCCCATAGAAATTAAGTGCACGTTGCAAGTTCACTTGCACTTCTTAATATTTGAATCATTTCAATAGTTTGCAAATTAAAGCGGTTCATCTATTTGCTTTTTACAGTCACATTTGCCACAAAGAATGCAAGTGCACAGAATCTTTCCTCTATGATTCTGAAACACAAGCTTCAATAATAATTAACCTTATTTTACTGGCAACTAAATTGTCATTAAACGAGATAATGTTTTAATTAAGAAGATTAACCTGAGGTTACTGAGATAGAACTGCGCATCCTTTTTGTGCTGAATTGCTAATGATAGGGTCTTTTAAGAGTTCTAAATCATGCTGAATTAAGTAAAATACAAATATATTTGTGTTATGTATTTCATTAGTAAATCTACCACTTTGGATATTTGCTGCACGCATTTTCATCTAGTTTAATTTGATGTGCAATTTAGTGTGAACTCTGTCCATTATTTCAGTGTCTACAGTACCACTTTTTGAAAGTTTAGTGCCTAAGAGCAAATCAAAATAATACATTTTTAATGGAAGAACTAACAAGTTTTTTTTTGTAAACCAGAATACAAAGTAATGAGACTTTGAAAATTCAAGGAATATACTCAAAATGATACTGAGATTTAACCTGAGAACAAGGACTAAACCCCAGACCTAGTTTCCACAAGTGCTACTGTCTTAAGTACCTGGGGAAGTATTCCTCCTGACAGTCACCTGAGGACTTGGCATTCTTTCTCTCAGCTTTGGACATTAGGATATCTGTCTTTTCTTTATTTTTATCACTCCTCAATGGTAGTTATTCATTCACACTCAGGACCTTCATCATGTATTACATACACCATGTAGGACATACATCATGTACCACATGTATATATGTATATTTATAGCAGGTTTGAGGCTCAGAATGTCTACATATACTCACATATAGCTAAGTCATTAGTAAATGGAGCAGACAGAATGCCACATTTTTTTTTGTTAACTTGACAAGGAGATATTTTGATTCCAGCTGTGCTTTCTGAGATATAAGTTAACCTCTGGTAGTTTTATAGAAAGGAATAGAATCAATAAACTTAAGTTATTTCCCTGTTCTTAAAATAACTGTGACTTTTATAAAAGGATGAGCCTTTTAGAAGCTAAGTGTGCATTTATAAACAGAGGCAATTGTGAGGAGGTACAAAAAAAAAAAGTGAAAAGTCTCTCTGAAAACATAAAAGCTATTATTAGCATGCATGTGTTACACACCTAATAAATAAACATTATTTTATGCCTAGCTTTACTCTTAAGAAATAGTAAATAATTAATCGAATAATAACTTATTAGGTAATAGCAAAGTGTCTGGGTTTGTCAAACTAGTATCTTTTGAATTATTGCTGACACATACGAATCCTTTCAGATATTTCTATTTGTCCATTTGCTTGTCTCAGTCATGTTAACATGATGAGGCTTAGGAGTGTCCAAGTTCAAGCACCAGGAGTCCATCACTGAGAAGGCAAACTTGAAGATGCAGCTATTGGCTCTTATGTGAGAATCCTAAATCCCACTTCTCTCAGGAAATGGATTACAAAAAGTTGTCCCTTTTCTGGGGCTTATGTTATTCCCTTTGTGCAGTGTACCAGTGAAAAGCTTGCTTATTAGCATATGCTTTTCATTATATGCCCCTTCATTTTATGTTTGTCAGGAGAATGTTTATCATCATAAGCAAATCATATGAGAATTGATACATTTGAAAAGTCTTTTCTGTTTTTTCTGGGAAAAAGGTGCAAGTATGCTGTTCAGGCATGAACAGTCTTCCATAATATATAATTAAATATATTTTAGAGAACTCAAATGTACTTTTCTTGGAGTACAATGAAAATCTCTTGGTGAATGTGAGTATTTGTTGTTAGGCCAAACTTTGCTGTGTGCTCCTGGAGAGTACTGAGTACGGTGCCTCCTAATCCACGTCCGGACAAGATTCTAAAATAATATTTCTAGGTCATGTAAACAGATTCCTCTCAATCCTGCTGTTCTTATGAGCAGTAAGTCAGTCATTTAATATGGAAGTCATTCCATGGAAGGAAGATAGGATGGAGAGAAAAAAAAGATTTCACAGAATCTCACCAAGGAAACACTCTTCTGATTTCTACTCTCATATTCAAGCCTTTAAAAAAAAATTTCCACCTTGGATAACTTGAGCTGGTGGGTGAAAACAAGGAAAGCTGTTTCCTGACCACGACTTCATTGCAAGCATAGAATAATTATTGTGTGATGGGTCATTTCATTTGTCCAGTATTTTGCCCAGTTAAGCCAATGCACAAATTGAAAGGTATAAAACTTACTGGCTTGGGAAACAGAACTCATAAAAGGAGTGGCTAAAACAGCTTCTAAATTAAATCATCAGCCATCTCTTCACTAATTAAGAGCTAACATGTATAAAGGAGAAATTAAAAAGTTTTGTGTAAGACATCTTCATATGATTAATGCATGGGGGCCTCAATAATGAACCTTTTTATGGTAATATAAATGGGGAAATACATTTTTAAAAAGGAGACCTTAAATAATTAAAAATGGCATACAGTAGAAAAACCAGTTCTATTACAGATGTTTTTACATTCTGCTTCCCAGTATTTTTTATTTGGAGATGATTTTTGTATTTGTCTTATTCAAAAAAACCAACTTCATGTATCTTAGCTATGCTCTACCCCAGCACTTTATAAAATATGTTCCAGAGTATGCTCTGCCAAAATAATACTGATGTTAATACTAATACTAATAAATTCCTTATGCATAGTCTATTCTGTATCAGTGACTTTTTATGTTTAGTCTATTCTTCATACAGATTTTTTATGCTTCGTCTGTTCCTCACTGGAGATTCTTTATGCTTAGCTACTTCCTTAGAGGAGATTTATAATGCACAGTAACATACAGTGTATTAAGTGCTCTAAGAAATCATCTGAAAGAAGCTAATTTTTTTTTTAGCTAATAATTTCCAATTTGTTTGACCGTAGAACTGTTTCCCTTTAACACCTATTAACTAGATTATAACAAATATTAACAAATAGAATAGACTTTGGAGAAACCTTTGATCTGGTGGTAGTGCTGGCCCTTAACTCTTCTCACCCTCTTTTCAGCTGGGAGGGAGAGTGAAATAAGAACAAGAGCATCTAAGTGAAAGAAATGCAGCAAAAGTGTAAATTCTCACACACCCCAATCACCTTTACCTGTTCCTACCCACACACTGTGTACAGACTACTGCAAGCTCGAAACAATGAGTCTGTCGATGAGGGAAGCTTCTTTTTTTCCCAAAGACATCTTTTTCATGAGCCTAAAGACTATCAATCAAGTCACTGGTGCAGAGAGAGAAGGAACAAACTAGCACCTCCACATGACTTACCTTAGGATATGGGTACTGCTTTCCTTTGGGGTACAACGCTCCAGTAAACTGAGGGATAACCATGTTAGGCACCAGCGAATCATTTATCATCAGGAAGGCAAGCCTTTCTCCATCTGGTGACCACCAGTGGGCAATGTGAGAATGCAGGAGTTCCTCTAGAATAAACAAGTGTTATTTGAAACCTACTGTAGAGATGTGGGCTCAGTCACCCACAAACATCTGTCCTTGAAATCTCCATTGTACATATTTATTTTTATACAGGGTATTGGATTTTACCAACTGCATGGAGAACTCTCTGAGTTACCCTTTTAATCCCAGGAAACAGAGGAAGGAAGAATGAAGCAATGAAGGTAGGGTTTCATGGATTGTTAGCAGTGTGAACAGAGGAGATGAAAACACAATTGGAGTAAAAAAGAATGAAAACAGAAATTGAAGACCGAAATATAGCATAAAACCATAGTTGTGTCAACATTCATTCATATTTGCATTTAATCACATTTCCATCCATTCATCATCAAACAAGATGAATACCCACTAGACCCATTAAGCTATTTTAAGCTCTAAGGAAATAGAGTAAGAAATATACTGGATAGCCTTCACATGACCTCAGATTCACTGTCCATTTTTCTACACCCACTTTCTGGCTCAGAGAATTAACCTGTGTGAACTACACTGACAGGACTCTTATGCCCTCTAGAGTACAGCTATTTTGGTATTTCGGCAAGAGATTAGAAGGCGGAGAGTAATGTCAGCATATTTATGCCCTTGGCTCTACCCTGAAATGTCAGGCTCTTGCTGTGTTTTAAGTTATGTTACTACTCCTGCCAATACAACCTCCTCTACAATTGTTTTCCTTTTGTTCCTGTGGTGGCTCCTCTCTATGGTCACAGGGGTAGTGATCACTGGGCTGCTACTAGTCCAGATTTTACTCCTGTCTGTTATAGTTTCCTTACAACTTCACCTTTGAAAATGGTCTCTGTAAATAAATGCAGGCTTTGTAATTCCTCTTCAAATTACTGAGTGTGCCAACTCTTTTCTTCTGGGGTCCTGACTGATAGAGTGAGTAATATCAGCAATAGAATCAGAAAGATACTTTCAATTTATATTTTTGAATTAGTTGGAGATATATCTATATCATCTCTATATATGTCTATCTGTATCTACATCCAGGGGTAATAATCAACTTTCCAGGGGTAACTGGCACAAAGATAATCAATAGCAAGAGATGTAATAGTGAGTAATCAGGTTATCAGTGGTGATGACATGGAATGAAATGCAGATAGAAAGGAAAGGCATTGGGAAGACCACTGGTTGTGGCACTTCACTTGCTACAACAATGCTAACTGCAAAGATTGTAAAGTGAAGTTCACATGGTTATTTTGTCACCTCAGATAGATGACATAGGAATAAACAGAAACTGAACTCATGATGGTAAAATTAGGACTACACAAAAGGTCTATGTGGCATCTTTATAGAAATCCCTTTCTTCCGTAGTGGCAGGGCAGAAATGGCCGAGGTCCTAGAGAATATAATAAGGGCTTCAGAGCTGCAACACAAAACAGGGGCTCAACTCCATTTGTTTTTTAAAATTAAGGTAGAGATACTAATATGGACGAATTGGACCATAAAGCATAGGAAAAGGATGCTTGGGTAAACATGTGCACTATACCTATGCTTTCTGGACCAGCCTCAAAACACATTTTACAGTAGAATGTTGCTATATGTGTCTAATTTTATGACTGAATATTTTTGAACCTCAGAACTCCCACAAGTCTTCTTGCTAGCAAAGGCCACCTCTGTCCAAGACAGCCAGGCCTCCTCTGCATAAAGGCAGAGTGCAAGATGAATTCCTGTTATGTTTGAGAGTCTGTATCCCTAGAGAAGAGATCAAGTACTTTGGAAACACTGGGAAATCTCTGCTAAAGTGAGAGAAGATTCATTGGGACTGTACTTCTGCAAAGCTTAAGAGATACTGGGCAATTTGGACTTTGAAGAATAACATAAACCATAGTCATGTGTGCTGCTGCCCTGTTCTGTTTCTCAGGTAAGCTGTAAAGCTGCCAGTTCTGAATAGAATCCAAGCAAGAGAGGGCTGTGCAGTAGATCACAGCCATGGTACAATGTTCCCTACCATCTCTACCTTGTGACCCAACACATACAATGGTGATGTAAGTGTCCATGGCAAACAGAGATGCTGTGTGGAGCTTCTGACATTCACCATATGACTATCAAAGCACTGGCATCATAAGCTTTAGAGAAAGGCCATTTCCTTCTGTACTGATAAACAGTCTCTATTTCAAAAGTAGCTCTCTATTGAGTCTGGCAGGAACAATTAGCCTGACCGTGGGCTACCAAGTGGCAATGCGACCTAAACTGCCCATCATGGAATGGACTGAATGTTAACTGGCTTATATTCCACTCTAAACAGAAGTGGTATATATGGGACTAGAACATGTTGAGTGAACTGCCCATAGTATTGGATCCCCCACTTTATCCTTTCGCTTCAATACCTCAAGACATGTTTTCCAATACAAGCTGGCAGAGGAGTGGATGCAGGCCTGGTGTATGTGCAGGTTTGTATGATGTACTTGAACACTCTGGAACTGGTTAAGGCTCTGTATTGTAATCTGACTCAGGAATGGCATTAAAAGATGATAATAAACAAATCCTTTCAGTTGGCAGGCTTTTGAATAAGATTTTTAGTTTTCCACTTCTTGTGGAAGGAGATATGCCTTGAAGCACAGATCCATCCTGACTCATGCACAGTAAATAATAAACAGCCACCTAAGCAGGAATATAGAAGACTAAAATTAGAAAATTAGTGACAATGAAGTTTAGGGAAAGACAAGTGTATGGACTTATCAGAAGGGTTGAAATGTGAAAATATTAGCATCCTACTTAATGTCGACTGGCAAGGGAGTCTCTCAGCAATCAGATGGACAATGTGACTACTGTGTGTATGTCTGTTTGCTTCTGGCTTCAACTATTACCTGCCAATAATAGTGAGCATCGCTAAACTCTTGATAAGGCATTATTTCCCAGCAGTACCAGTTGGCTACCTGATAGCAGGTTGATTATACGGGAACCATTCTGTGAAGAAGGGGTAGCACTTTATCTTTACAGAGATAGACACATATTCTAGGTACGATATGTCTCTGCTATCTACGGTCTTAACAGCGCTGCTGTTCATGAATTTACAGAATAACTTACCCATTAGCATGATAACCCACCTTATGTCACATCCAAAAAGGAAACATTTTACAGCAAAAAAAGGGTAATAGGCTTGGACCCATTGAATACATTGCTATCATTCTCCATTAGATGTATGTGCCTGGCTTGAAGAAGAATGAAACAGCTTTCTCTACCTTGATTTTGGCACTTTTTGTTTCAAAAGAACCTTGAAGTTGGGGAGTCACTCTACAGCATGCACGTGTCTCTCCTGAATAATCAGGAAGGACAGAGCTTTGAACTAAGGGGTAGAAATGTAATGTTCTCTTTCACTATCACACCAATGACCCACCAGACACATTTTGTTTCTTGTCCTCATGGTAATGAGCTTGGTGGGTATAGAAGCTCAGATATCTAAGGACGAGTGCCTCCAGCAGGGAATATAGTTACAACTCTGTTCCTCTGAATTGGTAGCTGACATTTCCCCTTGACCATTCTAGGCTCAATAGGACTGGGAAAAAAAAATGACAGAAAACATAGTCACTTTGCTGAGTCTAATGATAAACCCCAGGCATAAAAGATGTCTTTACTGTACAATGCAGGGCAAGGAAGAATATATTTGGAATTTAGCAGATTCACAAAAACTCCTTTGTCCAATTCCATTTCATTCCAAATCCACATTTCTACATGCCAATTTTCACTTCAATGGAAAACTGAAATTGTAGCAACATCATTAAGAAAAAGAAGCAAAGAAATAAGATTTGGAGGGAATGAAGTTTTGGTTTGCTCTACCAGGTAAATACCTGTCCAGTTAAAATGCTGGCAGAAGGTAAAGGGAAAAGGGAATGAGCAGTTGACAAAGGGAGCTATGATTGCCAATTTAAGCTATATGGCAAGCTTATTTCTTTTCGTAATGAAGGCATTTTCCCCAAAACCTTACATGAAAACACATCTTGGCTCTAGTGATAAATTCCAGGCAGATAAAGAACTGGACTAATACCACTCTACAATGCAACAGCAGCAGATGGGACTCTGCACCTCTGCTGGGGACACAATCTTTGTATCTAAGTAATAAGAATTCTCCCATGGTCTCTGAGCTTGTTGGTGGGGCTACTATGAAGCCAGAGAAATCAAATGAAGAGAAGAAAGTCAGTGCATGATATTCATTTCCTTGGTTCCCACCTGTTGAAATCATGTGGATCTGGCTGTGCACCTCAACCAAAACTCAGAGCTTCTACTTGTGCCAACTATAGGATTCCCTTCATCCACTTTCTAGCAACAGCTGCCTTCCCTTCCCACTGTAGATGCAGATGTTAATGGTGGAAACATTAGAGCCACAGTTTGCTCCACATTGCTTTTCTTTGATAAGTGGCCCCTTTGTAGTTAAAACTGTCAATACTATTTTTAATGTGCCATTTTGTCTTTACAAGTAAGTTACAATTCAGAGGAGGAGATATGATTTTTCCGCATGACACACTAAGGGGAAAAAAATGCTAAATGCCATGTGAGTGTAAATTTGAAGTCTTACAAGACTTGAAGTTACTGAGAGATAAGATTGTGTTGCCTGAAATCAACACTCAGGTTTTCTAAGAAGTGGTGCCATCCTAGTTACTGAAATAGGTGTGCATTCCAAAATTTTAGGATACCATTGAGTAGACTAGATTATCACTATGCTAAAATAGCAAAGTAACACACAAGGTTATGTGACTTTTGCCAGGTATAAAAATAAGACTAACTTAAATGGGAAGGGAAAAAAAAAGGAATCTTTAATATGCATTTGTTTGAGCCTTCCTGGATAAGGCACACACTTAATTGCAACTAACCAGACTTTTTCTTATGGATTGAATCTTCCTGTGTTAATTATATTATTTACAAACAGTGTATTTTACAGGTTGCATTCCATTCCATTTTAGTGTGGGTTTGGATATTTATCGTCTTTATTACACTGATTTAGAAAATTTCACTGCAGAGCACATGGAGTTTTCAA